ATAGATAGATAGATAGATAGATAGATAGATAGATAGATAGATAGATATAGATGACAGATAGATATAGATATTGATATAGAGAGATAAAGAGATAGATAGATGGATAGATAGATAGATACAGATGACAGATAGATATTGATATTAATATATATAGAGAGAGAGAGAAAGAGAGAGACAGAGAGGGACAGAGAGAGAGATTTAAATAGAGAGAGATATAGAGATAGAGATACAGATATTTAAATTAGAGATAGATGGAGATATAGATATTGATAGAGAGATAGAGATAAAGATAGATGACAGATAGATAGAGATAGATAGATAGATAGATAGATAGATAGATAGATAGATAGATAGATAGATAGATAGATAGATATTGATAGATAGAAAGATATAGCTAGTGGTCAGATAGAGAATAGATACTGTAGATAGAGATGATTGATAGACATGATAGATATAGACAGATGATAGACAAATACTATAGATTGATTGATAGATAGATGAGAGAGAGGTGTTTAAAAGATGATAGTTGATAGATGATGACTGGAGAGAGAGGGAGGGAAGGAGAGAGAGAGAGAAACGAGGCGAGGGGATCTTTTCCCAGGCAACAGGATCTGGAACGAGAAGTGCGGGATCTCTTTCACACACAAACACACACGCACACACACCCGGGGGGGGTGTTCAAAGGATCTCCCAAATCCAAGCGAACAGCTGGCGGAGAAGGCCCGCCTGGCTGGGATCCCCCCCCCCCAGCCCCGCCGTAGATCTGTGCCAGGAGGGGGGGGGAGGAAGGGAAGGGAGCCGCGGAGAGAGACGATTCTCCACCCCCCCTTTTCAGCACCTTCGAGAGCGGCGGCTCCCGCCTCTCCCGCGATACACCGCGCCCGCCCGCGGAGGCCCCCCCGCCCCCCCACCCCCCCCCCCCCCCCCCCCGCTTCTCCAGCCGGGCGAGGGGATGGGGAGGGGAGGGGAGGGGGCGGTCGGAGAGGCTTGGCCGCCCCCTCCCCGCCTCTAGCGCCAGTCTCCACCCCGCGCTCGGCGGCGGAGGCAGCATCCGCGGCGCCCGGCCGAGCTCGGCAGAGAAACCCCCCCCCCCCCCCCCCCCCCCCCCCCCCGCCCCCCCCCCCCCCCCCCCCCCTCTCCCTCTCTCTCCCCCTCCCACCCGCCGGAGCTCCATGGCCGCCTAGAAGCCGCCGAGAAGCCGCCTCGCTATGGGGCCGCCCCCGACGCCCCCAGCCCCGACCCCTCCCGCCAACCCCTCGCCCGGCCCGGGGGCGCTCCGGCTCCTCCTGCTCCTCCTGCTCCCGCGCTCGGCCGCCTCGGTGGAAGGTAAGCCCGGGGGGGGGGGGAAAGGATGCTCCGAGAAGCCCCCCCCCTCCTCCTCCGCCTCGGAGACCCCCGCGGTGGGTGGGGAAGGGCCGCGATGGCCGCCGCGGTGGGCAACGGGTGGAAGGACCCCCATCGCCCCCTCCCCAACACAACACACACACACACGCACACGCCAAGGGGGGGGGGTTGGGGAAGGGGGGGGGGGGGGCCCCGGGGGGCGCTTGCTTCCAACCCCCGGGGGGGGGCGCGGCGGGGGGGGGGGGGGGGGGGGGGGCGGCTTCCCAGGCGGCGGGGGCAGCCGGGTTGGGGCCGTTGATCCGCCCCACCGAGAAGAATGGGGGGGGGGGGGGGGCGGGGGGGGTGAGGGTCTCCTCCTTGGAAAGATGCTCCGGCTGACCGGCGGAGGATGCACATGGTTGGGGAGGGGGGAAGGGGGATGCTTGCTTGCAAAACGCTGGGCGCCTCTCCTGCGCTCCCCTCCCCCCCCCCCTTGCGGGAAAAGACCCCTTGGCCTTTTTTGGGGGGTGGGGGCACACCCCGTCTTTCCTTCCCTCCTTGCTGCGCCCCCTGTTCCCCCCCCCCACCTCTCTGGCTTCCCCCCTGCATGGAGGAAAAAGCGGCGGCGGGGGTGGGGGGGCTCTGCAGTGTTTTACATATCCAGGGTGGGTTTGGGAGGCAAGAGAGGAAGAAAGAAGGAAAAAGAAGAAGAGGAAGAATTGGGGATGTAGGGGGGTTGGTGGAACTGGGGTGTGTGTGGGGGTGATGCCCTGTGGGGCTTGAAAAGGGCTGGGTGGGCGCTTTTCATCTTCCATGCCCCCCACCCACCCAAAAATGACAGCTGTCCAAAAATATTCTTTTTTTGACGGGTCGCATTTCCCCCCCCCACATGGGATTAAACGAGCCCTCGCCGTCTTTAAGAGGGACGCGGGGGGAAAAAAAAGAAAAAAGAAAAACACAACCCAGTGTGTTATGGCGCCATTGTGCACCTGAAGGATGTCATGGCAGGGACCTGGCATCCCAAGTGTTGTCGTCATTGTGGCTTTTGCAAGGGCCGGATCTGAACCAGCAAAATTTGGACGATTTGGCGGCCCCTGCAAAAAACACACACACACACACACAAAAAACTGATCCACTGGGCCTTTCATTCTGGCATTTCAGGCCACCCTAATTTGAATTAATTAATATATATATATATATTTATTAATGGGCCACAAAATTAACCTGCCAAGCCTTTCATTCTGGAGACCTGGAGTTTCAGGCCACCCTAATTTAAATTAATTTATTTTTTAATATATATATATATATATTTTAATGGGCCACAAAACTAACCCACCAAGCCTTTAATTCTGGAGACCTGGAGTTTCAGGCCGCCCTAATTTGAATTAATTTATTTTTTAATATTTTAATGGGCCACAAAACTAATTCAGTGGGCCTTTAATTCTGGAGACCTGGAGTTTCAGGCCACCCTAATTTGAATTAATTAATTTTATATATATATATATATTTAATGGGCCACAAAACTGACCCACTGGGCCTTTAATCCTAGAGATCTGGCGTTTCAGGCCACCCTAATTTGATTTTTTTTTTAATATATTTATATTTTAATAATTATGGTGAGGAAAAGGCACTAGAATTCCTCTCAGGCTGCCATCTTTCTCCAAAATTCCTCTGAGAGAATTCCCTTCCCGTGGGAATATGCCTGCCTTTTTCTCTTTTGTACACCTTTAAGGGACATTTTGGGTGGGGGATAGGAAAAATTTGCAAAAAGGTGGCATTTTTTTTTTTTGACGCTTCTTGGCGTGGGAACCCCCAAATCTCCTTAAGCTAAAATCGAGTTTTGGGGGTGTCTCGGATTGTCATGGTTGTGAGAAAAACCCTATTTTGAGTAGTTGGGAATCCCCGTCCGTTGGAATTTGCTGGAATTGGGGTATTTCAATGTGCGCTGCGTGAATTCAAAATTAAATTTAATGTGTTGTGGGGCTTGAAAACATCCAAGTATCTGTTTCGAATCACCGCCCACCTAGCTGGTTTTTTTTTTTAATGTCTTGAGATTTTTCCGGGTTCGCCTTCCTGCAAAGAACACCCCCCCACCCCAAAACCCCAAATTTGCAGAGTCGCTTCTGGAACGTTCCATGAGCTTTGAGTGGGGCCTGGGTGGAAGATTTCGATGGATACAAAATTAATTTCCTCCCCGTTTTTGTTTTTTGTTTTGTTTTGGTTCCTCTTTTGGGGCAGTGGGCTAGGCGAGGGGGTTGTGTCGCCAATTCGAAGCGGATTTGGGGGTGCAGAGAGCCAAAGCGAGAGGTTTTCAAAATGGCGGAGAAGGATGTTGGTTGGAAAGAGTAAGGGGTGTGTGTAATTGTGTAGACTCTCTATTTATTTATTTGTTTATTCATTCATTCATTCATTCATTCACCCATCTCTCTCTCTCTCTCTCTCTCTCTCTCTCTCTCTCTCTCTCTCTCTCATCTCTCTCTCTTTATATCTAAACTATATTTATCTATAAAGAAACTTAAAACCAAGGTCCACCTGCAATCCCGATCTTAAAAAAGGGAAGGAGAAAAAAAAACAAAAAACCAACAAAATTTAAAAATAAAATAAGCCGACGGCAGCCTTTGTTTGCAAACAAACCAAAAATACCACCCAGACGTTGGTTTCTTTCTTTCGGAGAATCTCAAAAGAGGTTGAGTAAAAACAGGCTGTTTCTGTGGCTGGACAAATGTGAGATTTTTAGGGATTCGAAATTTTCCCCCTGGATGTGCCCAAATAAAACAGAGGGGTGTGAAAAAAATGGCCAGTTTATAATATTAATAATTAAAAGTCTGGCGACGGAGCAGAGGAGAATCCAATTTACAGGTAGTCCTTGACCACAATGCAGCCCCCCAAAATTTATGTTGCTAAGGGAGACATGTGTTAAGCGAGTTTAGCCCTGTTTTACAACGTTTCTTGCCACATTCACAAAGGGAATCCCTGCAGTTCTTGAATTAGTCACACGGTCATTAAGCGAATCCGGCCTCCCAGTGGACGTTGCTCGTCCGAAGGTCGTAAAAGGTGTAACCCCGGGGACTCTACCACCATCATAAATATGAGTCCCTTGCCAAAAGTGGTCGAATTTGGATCACATGACCCTGGGGATGCTTCAACGGTCGTAACTGTGAGATGACGGTCCTAAGATACATTTTTCGGGGGGGGGGGGGCGTTGTAACTTGGAACGGTCATTAAATGAACTACCCCTGTACAGCAGTGGTGGTATTCTAACGGTTCATCCCGGTTCAGCCGACCTGGTAGTAAAACAATTTTGAATCCCGCCACTGCTGTACAATCTATAACCGTGAAGGTGAACCTGTGGCGTGCAGGGTCATTTGTGGGGGCACATGAGCCGCCCTGGCTGATTTTTCAGCCTGTTTGAGGCCTTTTTCACCCTCCCGGATGCTCAAGAAAAGCCTCTGCAGCCTCGGGAGGCCGAAAAACGGGCCTTGTGGAAATAGCGGAAGTGACAAAACGGGCCTGTTTTTCGCCCTCCCGAGGCTGCAGAGGCTTCCCTCGAGCAGCTGGGATGGCAAAACAGGCCGAAAATCAGCTGGGAGGTGCACGCGCAGTGCAATTAAAGGAGGGTTGTGTGTGTATATGCAGGCGGTCGGGGCACATTGCATTGTGGGTGTCGGCATGCGCCCACGCTTTTGGCACCCCACGACAAAAAGATTCACCATCACTGGTCTATAAGAACGTCCAATCTGACGTTTGTGATGGATTATGGATTTTAGAAGTCTTATCTTCAGCAAATTTCTCCCTCGTCCGTTCTGGTGGAAGAAAACTCAAGGAACTACGAGAATCTGTATTTTAGGGCTGGTTAAAGATCGGTCTCACCACCAAATTCCTTTTATCGGCTCTAGGAAAGTTTTTCTTTTTTTTTTTTTTGAGCGGGGGTGGGTGGGAGCAGATAAATTTGGAGCCACGGAGTCCAAGAAAAAAGAGTACCTCGGAGGCAGGTTCGCCTCCCCACCCAAAATATTTCAAAACACATTAGCAGGAAGGAAGAAAAAAAAAAAGTATATTTATCTGCCAAAAGACAGGGAAAGAAAGAAAAGTCATCCAAGCCACGGGGGGACAACGATGATTTTTCTCCCCTGAATATTTGCCAGCGCTTCCATTTCAGCTTGCTGGAGACCCCATTAGTAATTGAATTTTTTTTATTTTAAAAAAAAGGAAATAATTAAATTCATATTCCAAGAGATCGTGATCAAGTTACGAAGGATGCTTCAGCGAACGCAATACAAAATATTCTCCCCCCCTCCACCCTCATTTCTAAGACCACACTTGGAATACGGCATCTAGTTTTGGTTGCCATGATGTAAAAAAGATTTTGAGACTTTGGAAAGAGCGCAGAGAAGAGCATTTAAGAGAACTAAAACATACAAGGAACCAGTGCAGGAATTAAGGAGGAATTTCCTGACAGGGAGGACAATCAACCAGTGGAACTCCTTGCCACCAGAAGTTGTGGGTTGCTCCATCGCGGGAGGTTTTTAAGAAGAGACCGGACAGCGATTTGTCTGGAATGGGATGGGGTTTCCTGCCTGAGTGGTGGGGCTGGACTAGAAGACCTTCAAGGCCCCTCCCAACTCTTGTCATTCTGTACGAAAGCGTCTCCTGCTTGAAAAGGGGGTTGGACTAGAAGACCTCCAAGGTCCCTCCCATCTCTGTCCTTCTAATAATTCAGCCTCTTGCCATTGACCGATGGGGATTCAAGAGAGTCTTCCATTGTTTCGGCGACTGCATCCAAGGCGCCTGTCGCTAGAGTGGACAAACCCGCGGCGGTCGTTAAGTCGCGGACTGACTAACCGGGGTTCGGCTCTGGAGAGTCCCAGCTGGATTTGGCGCACCATGAAGCGGTGAAGAAGTTCGTTGGACCGATCAAGAGAAGTCCAGCGGGAATCCAGAGAGGCAGGCAGTTAGTTCAACAGGTCGAGCTGCTACACCTGGCTGCCCGGGGCGATTTTACTTTCTCCTCCTCCCCCCCCGCCAATGCCAAATCGGCAGGGAAGGAGCGCATCACATCCCGGCTCCCTTCGGCGAGCCGCTCCTTGTGCAAAAGATGCCAGAAGAGGTCGAGTATTTTGTGCAATGACCTGGAATCGAGCCGTCCTGATTTGTGGATTTATTTATTAAAAAGATCTCTCTCTCTACCCATTTGAACCCCCGCACTCGCTTCCGGCAAGGTGGGGGAACCTTTGCAAGCGGAGACAGCAGAAATTTAGCCTCCTGGAATGGGCGTCCGGTGACGTACCTGCCAAAATCATCTATTTAAGATTATTTTTCATTAAAACGAGAAAAAGAACAAAACAGACGAGAGAAAATGTAGGACAAATGTGGATTTTCAAAAGCATCTTCCCAATTGGAAAGTACGTGAGCTCTTTCCGTCCATACAGGCTGTCCTCGGTTTATTTATTTTATAATTCATTTATTTATTTTTAATATAATCATTCCATCTTCAACCCTCGATTTATATAACTGTTCATTTAGTGGCCGAAGTTATCGCCTCTCAATCAGGAGGCTGTGAGTCCGATTCTAGGAAGAGGGCATTTCTTTCTTTCTTTCTTTCTTTCTTTCTTTCTTTCTTTCTTTCTTTCTTTCTTTCTTTCTTTCTTTCTTTCTTTTTTTCTTTCTTCCTTCCTTCCTTCCTTCCTTCCTTCCTTCCTTCCTTCCTTCCCTCCTTCCTTCCTTCCTCCCATCCCT